GAGAGAGAGAGAGAGAGAGAGAGAGAGAGAGAGAGAGAGAGAGAGAGAGAGAGAGAGAGAGAGAGAGAGTAGAGTTTGTAGTTATTTGCGCAAAAGCGACCGATGTTTATCATTATTTTCTGAAAAATCAAAAGTCAAAAGTACTGTCGTGTCGTTTTGAAGAAACAGAAAAAAGACTTGTGTCGTTGTTTATCTGTGAATGGTGCATGCACAGAGATAAGAGGAAAGATCTCATACAAAGATATCTTCAGTTCCGAACGGTGCACAATTGCAGTGGTAAAGGCATCTGGCTGTTATGGCCGAGACCACCGATTTGATTCCCTGTGGCTGTGAATGGACCCTGGCATATGTACTGAACAGGTATAGAGCGAATTGTTTGCATGATTTCACATGGTCAGATTTCACATGGTCAGAAGTGACCGATGTTTGGTTTTCTATTCCTTTTTTCAGAAAAAGAACAATACAAAATTTGCATGATTTCACACGGTCAGAAGTGACCGATGTTTGGCTTTCTATTCCTTTTTTCTGAGAAAAAGAACAACACAAAATAATGGCGTTGTTCATCACGAGGTTTGCTGACGGAGGTGGAGGGAAGATGTCGCACGCAGATGTCGGTGGAGCTAATGGGTGCTTTGCATGATATTTCACACGCTCAGAAGAATCGCAAGTGACTAATGTTTGGCTTTATTTTTTCTCTCAAAATAATGGACAGGACAAAGCAATGATTATCTGTTTCATCTGTGAACTTGGCGGATACCTTGCATGTCATTATTCTTGCTTTGAAAATTGAAAATCTTTTTTTAATATTTATTTTTTACACTTTTTTTTCAGAAAGATAATGATTATCTTTTTTTTTTTTTTTCTCTGCACATGTGGCAGATAGGAGTAGAGGAAAGATCTCGTACAAGGATGTGGAGCGCATGGCTACCTTGCATGATTTCACATGGTCAGACGAGCAGATTCAAGACATGATTGATTTTTACGACAATGATGGTGACAAGCGTGTAAGCGCTTCTCCCTCTCTACACTTATCAGACTTCCCACGCACTTGTGTGCTGACGTGTCTCTCGATGATGGTTGTCCCCGTCTGTTGTCTGTCACTCACAACCTCCCTCCCAATGATCCTATGTTTTTATTTTCGTTTAGTATTTCTCTCTTTCTGTCTGTTCTCTATCACTCACAACCTCCCTGCCAATGATTCTATATTTTATTATATTTCTCTCTTTCTGTCCACAGTTCAGAAAGTTTTGTATTAACAATATGTCGGTAACTTTGTAAAGTTTGTATATATGAAGTTACATGATTATTATAATTTATTAATTTTCTACGCTAAATTGCATTACGCTAGACATAAAGTTATATCAGTAATTTTTTTTTTTTCACAGTACATTAGTATTATTTAGTAACATTGCGTGACTATGATTTTTTTTACAGTAGTGACTCTGCGTAGTGTTTATGCATTAAGCTTTTCATTACATCAAATTTGTTATAATTTTGTAGCGATAATATACACATCGAGCATGTGTATCCCTCTGCTTGTTTATATCTCCCTTACCCTTATGCAAAYTTTYTTTTWYTTTTTTTTGGKGKGGGGGGGGGGGGSGGGAACTCCCCCCCCCSCCCCCTTCTTCTTTYTTTYTTTTWTTTTCTCTTTTCAGATCAGAACACACAAGTTAGATAGCTCTTAACATCAGAGTCATACATAATAAAGGTTTGATCTCTTTTTTATCAATCAGGGGAGGAGAGCGATGCAGGAGTGTTGCAATTCACTGTCTGCTGCTGAGTACATAGTGATCAGATGCACTGTGTGATGCTTTTGCGGCAGTCCCAATCTCTTTGGTTCATCCTTTCTGAATGCAAGTTACCTGTTTCTTGTCTTCATCCCAGGCCATCACATCCTAACAGACAATACTTCTGTTCCGTCCGACAACCGTGCTAGAGGCTTTCTGCCCTCCTCATCCCTTCCTCCCTCCTCCCCTGCCCTCTCCCGCCTCTCTTGCCCTCGCCAACCGCCTCTGTGTCCCTCCTGGTGCCGTGGTCCCAGCAGGCTCTGTGCTCTCTACTCTGTGCGAGCTGTTACCTTCGGCCCAACCCAAGGCCCGCGCTGGTCTTTTCCCTTTCACCACACTCTTGTGGGACTCTCAATCGGCGTTGTACCTCACAGGCGTGGCTCCGGGCACCGCTCACGTAAACGACCAGTACACGCTATATATCAGCTGCGGGCCCCTTTTGGAGGCCGGAAACGCCACAAAAGCCACCGATGGAATTTATCAATAGCCCAGCCCCAAACTCTTTTCTTTTTTTCAAAAAATTTGGACCATTTCTCGATGCTTGCGCAGGGGCCATGCTAATCTTCTCTGTATCGTTCCACGGGTATCCCGAAGGACTGGCCCGGCCCCAACTTTTTTGGATGGGCAACGATAGTTTTTTTTTCAGCAAGGCTGGGGCCGTGTGCTGGTGGTTCAAGTCCAACACTTCTGCAAGGGTTGTAGTATCCACTTGCGCTCAAGTGAAACGAACCAGTAGAAACGGGCAACGAAAACGTGAAGAGTTCTTGAGTGCTTTCTCCACCCAAAGGGAAGAATCTGATATGGATATTACTCTCAGATATGCTAATGCTTTTTAATTACCATTTACTCTGCGTCATTTTGTGTTCACAGTTGGATCTTGCTGAGTTTCGGGCTATGGTCCAAAGCTGCAACGTGACTCTTGTCTGAGGAGAACAGTTTTATATTTGAAGGCTTGCGCAAAGCTGCCGCTATCAGTCGAAGGAATAGTCCCACCTTGCCAGGCCAGGCAGGGTGGAGAACACCTGCGGGTACGTGCGCGAACCTTCATCTCTGGTGTTTGCCAAGAAAATCGTTCGGGAACTCGTTGCAGAACAGTCAGAATTGAATGTGCTTTTAACCCGTTAGGCTATCTGCTCACCTGGCTGGCTGGGCCTGGCAGGGCCCAACCGGTCCAGGGTGGGGGGAGGACCCGCCCAAGAAAATTGGGGAGTTCAAAACAGGGCAACAGTAAGAAACATTTGCCAGAGCTGTGTTTCCCCGAGCAGTTGCAAGTCTGACCTCATCTTCCAAGTTGGTGACGAGTCCCTAGAGGAAGGGGGAAGATGGGGGGAAGGGGGGGAGGGGGGGGGGAGAGGGGACGAAGGGAAGGAGTGAGGATAAATGGTGTTTGAAATTGTTTAAAGGGGTGTGCCTTAATGTTTTTGTTTTTATGGTTAACTTGATGAAAGATGTTGCACTCTACTTTGGTAGTTAGGGGTGGTCATTATTGGAAGTTCTCTTTTGGTCTTCTCTCTCTCTCTCTCTCTCTCTCTCTCTCTGCGCCTCTCTCTCTGCGCCTATGTGTTGATATAACTGTTGTGTTGCTAATCTGAAAGGCTTGTCCCACTGCATGCATCAGCTTATGGCTGTTTATAACTTTATATACCCATCTCTGGCCACGGGCTGTAAGTGTTGCTTACTCTTTATGTGGTGGGTGAAAGGATGGCCTTACGATGAAGTCCAAAGTTTATTTCAGGTCTTTTGCCTGTGATCTGGCAATTCTGACGATATGTTTTTCTTTGTGCATGCCATACTTGTGTTGTGCTTCAGCGGAAGTTCATTGGGCGTCAAATGTATTGGGCATCGGCTTTCTGTATGGTTGATTATTTTCAAGCTGCGGTACCTGTGAGAAGCTGCGCCTGCTATGTTGCCTAAGACGCGAGCAAGATTGCTGCTTGTGTACTTGCTCTCAGAAGCCTGCCTTCTCTACATCTGAGTGCGCACTGCTGCTACTCTACGATGCAAGAGCGGGCGAGGCAAGAGGCCAAAGCAAGCAGACTTGGGGATGAAGTCCAGCAGTCTCGAGCATGGGAGTTCGGATCGGATTGTTTTTGTCTCGAATAACATCCTGCCTGCCACTGTCTCTTGTTGTCACTTGTCCGCTTCACACACAAGCATATGTATAGTGACTGTAGTCCTCCCTGTACAAGTGAATTATACAATTTGGGCTTCTAAGGTTGTTGCTGCTTCTTAGGGCGTACTCACACTAGCACCATCTTCAATGTATCTGACCGCAATTGCGGCCGCACCTGGATGTACCTGACAGCATGTACATCCAAAAGTCCGTAAAATAGTCCTAGTGTGAGTATGCCCTTATATGCGCATTGCAGATACACAAGCGCCTGCAGTACTCCCTTCGTTTGGTTGTCTGTTTGCTGCGAATGGGAAAGGATGGTTTTAACGTCGGTGAGTTCGAAATCACACAGCGGTATGTGTTTTGGTAGAGAATTGATGTAGTTTGGGGAGGAGCTCTTGGTGTTTAACAATTTGCTTGTCTATGGGAGGGGCATTACGAGTATTTCGCGTTCGATCTATTGCATCTTTGTGTTCGCCTTCAAGGCGGTGTGTGACTTAGCATACTCGTCTTCTAGCCGGTGTGTGTCTGGTCTTGTAGGCGGTGTATGACTTCGTAGCATACTTGTCTTCTAGGCGGTGTGTGACTGTTCTTCTGGACGGTGTGTGACTTAGTATATTTGTCTTCTAGGCAGTGTGTGACTTAGTATACTTGTCTTCTAGGCAGTATGTGACTTCGTATGCTTGTCTTCTAGGTGGTGTGAGTTAGTATACTCTAGATGTGAGTTAGTATACTCTAGGGCATCTCATTCTTAGTAGTTACAATGGTACATACTTTTTGGTTGTCTACTAAGCAGAAGCAAGGGCATATCATTCTTAGTAGTTACAGACGTTTTGGTTGTCTACTAAGCAGAAGCAGTGTACGACTTAGTCATTTGAGTTCTCTAGATGTACAAAAAGTCACTCAAGCTGTCTAGATGTGAAGAGTTTGCGACTTTGGATGCTTTCTCTACATGACGCTGTCATGCTGTTAGAGTTTTCCGGATTTCTGTATATCGGTTTGATTTCTAGATGTGCATCATCATTCACAGAATCACAACCAGTTTTTTAATGCCTTTCTGCGGAGGATATATGTTGATGGAAGATGTGCAATTGAATTCCTGACTATGACGATAGAGTAGGTGGAGTCTAGTCTTCTTCCATTGCAGTAGGTTCAAATTCATTGGAGTAGAGGATTAACTCAACAGACCTAGCTTCTCAGCCACTGGCTGATGACTGAACCGGCCACGGCAAAGCAGAGTGAGAACCTATTTATGTGGCACTGTTTTAGAAAGTGTATCGACTTCAAAACCACGGGTTGTCCTTCGGGACATCCGTTAAAATTGGAACGCCACTCTTCTTTATATTGTCTACATTTTATTTATATTTTTTACAATATATATTCTATTTACTCTCTTTTATAATTATAAATATGTCTAGAGTCAAATAGATTGAGAATCATATACAAATTAAATATAGATAAAATAGAATACAAGATAAAAGATATAAAATAATTGTAATTATAATATCGACGATATATCATAAATCAATCTAAAATATATTATAAAATTTAAATTATAATATACTTAGTGTTATTTATATACTAAGTAGTATAATCTACAATCCTGCTAACCATTGTAACTGTAAATGATCAGCATGGCCCCTGCGCACTCGAGGATGACGCGCATAAATCGAGAAATGGTCCAAATTAAAAAAAAAAAAAAAAAAAAAAAAAAAGAACATGGGTTGACAGACTTGGTAGGTCTGCGCAGCCTGCGACAGAACTTGGTGGGTCTGTGCAGAGCCTGCAAAGATGGGCCTACTGACCGGGTTACAGAAAGAGCTTGGCAGGTCTGTGGAGCCTGAAAAGATGGGCCCACTGGGTACCGGAAACTCTGACCAATGTATGGTTCGTTAGTGCGAAGTTCTTTTTTCATGAGAAAAAAGTATTGCACCTCATTTCGTTCTATTTTCTTTTTCAGTAATACAGCGGAATTGAACAATACATCTCTTCTTCTTTTTCTTCTTTTTTCCTTTTTTTTTTTTTTTTTTTTTTNCCCCCCTCTTGCCTGCGGGCAGGACTGGCGGTTTAACACCTTCTCTGTCATTGTCATGCTACTGAGTTTTTTCTTTCACTAGTTTACCAAACTGTTCTATGTTTCCTTTTTTTTTTTTCTCTCTTTTTTTTTTTTTTGCTAATCGCCTCATTATTACTCCAATGTTACTGAGTTTTTCCTTTCACTAATTACCAATCCTTACATTTTTTTTCAGTTTTTCCAACTTTTTCGGATGTAATGTCTCATCTAGAAAATGTTCGCGGACGTCGCGCATTTTTCGGTTTTCCATGGGGAGCATTTGCGTTTCTTTCTATCAATGGAATCTCCACATGCTGACATTGGGTAAGTTGGTGTGTGTCCATCAACATCAATCGAATGTATCGAGGAGCCTCGCTCCAACGATTGATCGAAACCTTGTGTTAAATCCGAGACAGTTCAAGCGAGCGGAACCTTGTGTTAAATCCGAGACAGTTCAAGCGAGCGGGTAATCATGTCATCTTTGTCCGGAGTTGCATTTCTCAGGAGGTTTGATGAAGAACAACATTTCATGCATGCGGTATGCTTGGTGGGTGTGTAGCTAGGGTAAGGTTTATGCCTGCTGCGGTTAACTGGTTTCTCTGACTAACTGCCATTCTTGTCGCGGGTTTGCAGCAACAGTGTGCGCTGGGATCACATATCTGGTGTGAATAAATTCGACGACTTCTCGCAGGGTTCCCGGTGTCATAGTGAGAGTCTTCATCCGTCAGTAAAATGCATCTTGTGCATACTGCCAAGGTTTCATGCTCGCAACAGAGCCTTACGTTTGCGGCTTGCATGGAGGAGATTTCATGCTCGGAACAGAGCCTTACGTTTGTGGGCGTCCGACTATAACTTGTGTCAGGAAACCTGACCAGACGTTGGGCGATGTTGGGGTCTGCTTTCCAACAAATTGAAAATAAAAAAGTGCAATTATGTGAAAGCAGTAGTAGTCTACCACCTCTCCCAAGAATATGACAACTTTGCACCTTCGCTTCGCGGATGAACATTGTACATGTATGTGATGCTGATGATGGTGCCAATACATTCAAAATGTTCGATGTGTCCAAATGTCTCTGGTCAGAACGCAGTCCAGGTACTTGTCAAATATTGAGTGGTGGAGTCGGACCCTTTGTGCAAGATAATGTGTCATACATGCAAGAGGACGCCGTGCGGAAAATTTTGCATGTTTGGCGCACGAGTGGGCACGCACTGTGCGGTGCACAGGGGAAATATTCACTCAAAAGAAAAAGGGGTCACATGGCTGGGTCAATGATCACGTGCATCCCCTTAAGATTTTCTGTGGGATCGGGGGGGGGAGGGGGAAGGGGCGCGGGATTAGAGGGAGGGTGATGCTGCTACCTGAAGGTCAAGACTGATGTCCAGACACCTTTTTGAGGCTATTTCTCATGCCCAATTGGACGGAAAGAAAAATCTGTACGACGGTACTTGAAAAATATCAGTTCCTTAGGCATTGCACTCGTCTGTATTTACAAAAACAGCAAAAAAAAAACAAAAAAAAGGGAAACTGCCGGTGCACGAGCAGGTGCCTTGCTGCACGGCTTGCAGTGCACCGGACGGTGCGGCTGCAGGTAGGGTATGAAGACATCAGTCAAATGCATCTGGGACAGATCCATCCTTTGTTGTTAGCGCGTCATTTCCAAGCAGTTTTACACTTGTCACACTGTGACATATGCTAGTCCAGAAATCTGCAAACTCACTGCAAAGTCTGGAAAAGGAGATGAGTTGCACTGCATGTAGAGCCGCACTGCTACCGTCTTCACCCGAATAGAACGCCCGGTCATTATAGCTGTATTTGGCACACTTTTCAGTCCAGAAACTGGGATAACGACCGGGCGCACTTTCGGGTGAAGAGGGTAGCCAATTAAGAAAAGAGCAAAGGAATTTGGCCATTTTGCATTATCCATTTTGTGTTTACACCCACCTCATGAACCATTACAGGTAGCGGAGATACAAAGGCTACAACTCAACTGAGGGGTCATCAAATGGGCATGGTATTTCCTTTCATCGTACACGCCTCCAGCCCTGTCCTTCTGTGTTCCTTGGACTTAAGTTGAGAGTGTCCCATCGTAATTTACCAGTTGATTTATAGCAGGGAATCATTTACAATACTGGCCAGATTCCCTGCACATCCGGATTTTTTTTTTTTTTTTTTTTTTTTCCCCTGCACATCCGGATTAAACGCTGCACATTTGGATTAAACGCTGCACATTCGGATTAAACGAGGCTACTGAAGGCCATTGAACCTTGGAAAGACGTATGGATTAGCAAAAAAAGTATTGGCAGGGAACTTAGGGAAGACTGAAAAATAACTCTTGTTTGCACTGGGACAAAAAAGGGTCCACTGGGACAAGGGTGCACTTGTGAAGGACTGTTTCCGCCATAATGGTGCACTGACAATATGGACTGGCTTTAACAACAACAACAAAAAAAAGGAGGACTTGCGAAAGTGTTTTCATCATAATAGGAGGGTAATGACGATAAGGACTTTTGAAATGAAGCGCAAAGAACTAGAAAAGGATGGTCGCCTTGATTTAAGGATGGTCCGTCCCCTTTTGAAAATGACAGTTTTCCCTCATGACAGGGTCTCTCTTTGTGTAAAGTTGCAGTTACGTTGCGGGCCTTGCGGCGAACTGTGCGAAATGGTCGTAAAGAAGATTAGAAAAGCCTATTCTTTTTTGCTTCATGAAGTAGCGAAGAGATATTATCTCACAGAGTCACAACTAAAAAGAGAAATAATCAGGAAGAGATAGGGAGGAAAGAGTGAAGAAAGACGGATCGCGCCACTTGACGACTCCTTGGCTAAGAAGAATGACAGGCTACATCACTTTCACTATTCCCAGAGCGTTGAGCGGTGGTACAAAGGATGTTCCCACAGACATCTCATGAGTGTTCAAACCTCTGGTTCACACGCCCGGTTCGTGCACCTTCCACCATCATTTCGTTGAAGGAATCGCTGACGCAATTTCTTCCTACGAGACCCTCATACCGGTGCCATAAATTAGAGGAAAGTGGGTGGGAGGGGGGCCTGTCGGGGGTGGGTGGCGAAGGTGGTGGCAGAGAAAGGAACGAAATCAGGGGAAGAATAGTACACACAGGAAAACATGAATCTATGACTGTGCCCAAATAGGAAATAATAACAGTGGTAACCGTACAATAAATGAAGTGAGCGGAATATGCAGTTGGTGGTTTTCTATGCAACGGAGTGCACTGACTGTTTGCATTTTAGTGATGGGAGCCGTAGACAGGAAATAGATACTACATGAATATAGAGCTTGTGCGCATTGTGGCAGCAATGATGGCTTGGTCGATGTTGAGTTGATGTTGACGCCTTCCATGTTGTCGCTGATGGCTGCCTCTTCTCTCCTGCCTTTCCCTCATTCCTTCCTTTCCCTCATTCCTTCTTCCGCGGAGGTGCCTGTCGAAAGCAAGCGCAACCCAAAACAATTGAAATAAAAATATTATTAAAGATTCAAATAAATAAGCAAAATGGAAACTTAGGATTGGTAAAACTCGAGCAAATCCGTTAAAATTGGAACGATACAGAGAAGATTAGCATGGACCCTGCACAAGGATGACACACATAAATCGAGAAATGGTCCAAAAAAAAAAAAAAAAAAAAAAAAAAACCCTCGAGCAAAACCCCCTTCTGAGCTCCAGCTGACACCTTTTCCGTGACTTGTCGTCACAAGCAAAATCTCTTCGACACCAGTCTGTGCACAGTTGTAAACGAGCACACGCTTCAAGAGATCATGCATGGTCTCTCTCTCTCTCTCCCTCACACACACACACACACACACACACACAAAACACACACACACACACACACACACACACAATCAGTTTCATATATGTCTCCCTGTTTGTCTTCCCTCTTAATTTTTTTCCTAAGTACTTTTTGTGTGCCCAACTGAGCACCTTTAAGTAGTGGCAAACAGTCGGTCATTCCTTGTCTGCAGTGCCTACAGCACTATTAGGGATGTCTGTGTTGCCTGAGGGTGATGACGGATGATCGTCGGAGTGTCTCCCTGGCTCAGTGGGTGATGGGAACCAACAGTATGCGGGTTCAATCGCGATGTGACTGTTGGATTTGTGGACTGCCTTGTTTGCGCTCCGCCGCTGCCTTGCTGCCTGTCCCACTTGCTTCGCATGTGGCTCTCTGCAAGTTGCTGTGTTCGCTGTGTGGTGTGGCCGTGTTGTTGGTGTTGCCTTGCGCTTCGCTGCTCCGCTGCCTTGCTGCCCATCCGCTGGTCGTGCCTTCCGTGTTTGCCGTGTTTGCCGCTTGTGTGCCGTGTAGGTTGGTTGCATTGTTGCTGTTGCCTTGTGCTTCGCTTCTCCACTCTCCCTATCGTCCCTTGCAGTGTGGTTGCCTTGCTTGTGTTGCCTCGTGCTTCACTACACGGTTTGCTGCGCTGTTCATCTGTCATCCGCTTGCCATGTCGTTTCTTGCAGTCGTGTTTAGTGCTGAGCAGCCGTGTGGCCTCTACAGCGTTGCCTGGTGCTTCACTGGGTCGCAGCCCACTGCTGTATTCCGTTTGGGGAACGGTCTGCCTTCAACAAAGGTCACAGGGTTCATCACCCAAACCATACAATACAAAGATTCCGCAGATTGTCGAGGGTTCAGCCTCCTGATGAGTCGGTGCAACTCCGATGAAACAATCTATCATCAGTTTTATTCTTTTCGCTTCGTGTTCTTTTGCTACTTGTACTTTTGTATGATTCGTTGTCTTATTGCCTTGCTGCTTCTTGACTTCCTGTCTGTTCCTTTCTTTTTGCTTAGTGTTGTTTGCCTGCCCACCCGCCGCCTCCCATATGCCCTCCAGCCTACGTTCTGTGCAGTTGCGTCATCAACCTAGTGTTACTTCGTGACTTGTTGTTGCTGCCTCGTTTTTCTGCCTAGTGCTGTTCGTCTGCCCGCCCGCCTCCCCCATGCCCTCCACCCTTCGTTCTTTGCTGCGGCTTGTCGTTCAAGTGCCGTGTTGCATCTTGAGTCTTGACCTTTGCCTTGTCATCTTGTTTGCCTTGTTGTACTTGCCTTGCCGCTTGTGGGCGTGATTTTTGTTTTGTGTTTTTCTTTTTTCTTTTGCGGCTTTTGACAGCTGGACATTAGAAGCACTCTTTTCTATGGGCATCTCGGGCTGCGGGCTCTTTCCTGGTGTTGCTTATAAGCAAGCACACCTGATGATGCAACATGCCGCGGCACGGTCGCGGGAGCCTCGTACCATACACACAAACACACACACATACATGCTTACAAATAAAGAGGGCAAAGAAAAAGAAAACCGAAAAAAAAGATAGCGCAATGTGGCATGCTTTCATCCTCCCTCTCCTCCACCGAGTGTGTCCTAACCCTCCCCCCACTCTCATCCCCCGTCTCTCTCTCTCTCTCTCTCTCTCTCTCTCTCTCTCTCTCTCTCTCTCTCTCTCTCTCAATTACACACACATACATACCCTCTCTCTCTCTCACAAACACACACACGTGCACACAACAAAACGGGAAAACAAAAGGAAAAAACTGAGAAAAAGGATTGTGCCATGTGGCGCGCTTCTGCCCTTCCTCTCCCCTCTGCCAACTTTGTCCCCCTTCTCTCTCTCTCTCTCTCTCTCTCTCTCTCTCTCTCTCTCTCTCTCTCTCTCTCTCTCTCTCTCTCTCTCTCTCTCTCTCCAGGAAACGTCTTTACCTTGCACTGATTGAAAAAAAGAGGAGGGCAGCAGGATGGCGGGTGGGCCGGCAGTGGGATGAAGGCGAGGTTGACAGAGGAGGCGAAGTGGGTGGAGGTGAGCGGAGGTGGATGTGAGGTGGGCGGATGCGGAGAAGAGGGGGCCGGCGGGCTGAGGAGGTGGCGAGGTGGCTCCTGAGTGGAGAAGAGGTGGCCGAAGGTGGAGAGGAGACGGTGGGCAGTGGCGGAGGGGAGGTGGGTGGAGGTGGAGAGGAGGTGGGCAGAGGCGGAGAGGAGATGGCAGGAGGAGGCGAAGGGAGGCGGAAAGGAGCGGAGGCGGAGGCGAGGTGGGCCCCAGGTGGAGGCAGAGAAGAAAAGAGATGGTGGGCGATGGCGGAGGGGAGGTGGGCGGAGGGAGAGAGATGGTGGGAGGTGGGAGGCGGTGACGGAGTCGAGGTGGGCGGGCGGGAGGTGGGAGGGGGTGGTGAAGCGAAGGTCGGCGGGCTCTCTCTCTCTCTCTCTCTCTCGCACACAGACACACACACATACATACACACACACATATACACACACACATATACACACACACTGGGGATAGGGACAAAAGTGACTAACCTGAGTAGCCCATCCCTCGACCCAACAGGCCGTTGGACTACAGCGAGGGCGCCGCCCTGCAACGGGCCAGTGCCAAACAGGTACCGGGCATAAGGCCCGGCGTTTATCTCACCACTGGCCCATACAGGCCCTTCTTCTCAACGGGGGCAACGATCCAGGCCGTTGCCTGACAGTTCGGATCGTCGCACGATCGCGTGGCGATCCAGGCCCTGTCGGACGGCCTGGATCATTGCCTGATCTCAAAGTCTTAAGATCGCGTGACGATCTGAACCGTTGGGCTGGTAGGACCGCGGACGGCCTGGATTGCTGCACGATCTTGAAGTCTCAAGATCGTGTGACAATCCAAACCGTGGGCTGGTAGGGCCGCGAACAGCCCGGATTGCCAAATTCTCACATTAGCGATTTGTTCAAGTGTAGGGGAAAAAACCTTAACAAGACAGAGGAGGCAGGTCGAGATTGTATATTGTGCAAGCTGAATCTCACCTTCTTCTTTGGAGGAGCCGCTTTCTTGTTCTCATTTATCTCAATCTGCCTCATCTCCCGATCATACAGAAGGTCAGCCTTGCATCTGCGAGAAATCAGACAACATGATTCAAGGCCATGTGTACCCTCGTGTCAGAGCCGCCGTTGCTCGTTTTTTGTCACTCCTTCCCCCCGCCTTTCTTGAGAGGGGTTGAGCGTTTTACCCCCTGATGTTGTTGTACCCAACAGGTCAAACTCACGATCTGTGTTCAGTTCTTGCTGTAAAAATAATCGAGCAAAAAATCATACGTACGAGAAGAATGTCCGATCTTTTCTCCATTAACAATAACAAACTCTTTTGTTTGTCTACATACGTATACATTTTTTTTGCTACTTTTTAAACAGGCAAATTACCATAAAAAATAGATAACTTTTTTAATCGCTTGTAATTTTTGTGAAATTGACTGGCCTTCTTGAGAGGGGTTGAGCAGTTGAACCCCTGATGTTATTGTATCCATCAGGATCAGAATTTGAACTCGCGATCTGTGTTTAGCACTGTTTACCAAAAGTCGCGTGGGTGTATAATTACAAGGGCCTTTACCCGTTCAGACCCTGAATGACGAATGCAGCATAATGGGGCCCACTCGGCCAGCACTCAATTCGTGAAACGCAGATCAAAAGACATGTTCTCTGGGTCAAAAGTCACATCCTAACTGAAGTGAGGACCTGTGTCAAAGGTCACAGTCGTGCCCCAGGACGAACAGTTGCCGCATTCAATTGTGAGAGTCACGTCTGTTCGTCCAGCGGGCTGTGCAAGCCATGTCTGTTCGTGCAGTAGATGTGTCTGTTCCTGCAGAAGTTTTGTCTGTTCGAATGGTAGTCAATGGGGTAGAGTCCCCGTCCAAGTCAAAGTCCAATAGACAGTCCAGATTCAGACCCAAAGTCCAAAATCCGACTTTCGGTCCTAAAGGCCGCAGCAGCAGCAGACCCTAAGGGAAAGGTACTGGGACACAGTCTGCAGTGGTCTGGGACTGGGAAAAGACCCAAGGAGGACTGATTCAAACCTCGCGAAGGGAGGCCAGCACTATAACAGACCAGGCCAGCCTCCCCACACGACAGATCTCCACTGGCATTGATGCGTGGAAGTGCTGAAGCACTTGTGAGCTAGAATGCAGGGAGAATGCGCTGGCTGGAAGCTGCACAAGCAGAGGAAGAAGAGGCTGGGCGCGGACTGGCAGAAGCCTAGGCCAGCATCATAAAAACCATCAGCTACTGTCTTCTCCTGCACACATCATTCCTCATCATGAGATTTAAACTGGGCTGGCTGGCACTGGACACTGGTCGGGTGGGCACCCGTGAAAGTCGCCCGGCTGATTGGGGGGTACCGGTACCCTGTGCAGGCAAACATCCTCGTTTTTTTTTTTTTTTTTTTTTGTTTTTGTGGGCACCTCTACGCCCACCGGGCTCTCTGCCTGAATATGGGCTTGTTTTGTTTTTTCAGCATTATCCGTTGACAAGGGGGCAAGTGGTAAAATGAAAGAACGGCGTTCTGCAGCGACTTTTGCTGGAAAAATGCAATAGCAAACAACAGCAGGTCATTTTTGCTGAAGGAAATTTGAGCGAAGATGTAACCTAAGCCATTCGTTTTTCATTTTGTACCGTATGTTCTCGTTTTGTTGATGGGCCCCTAAGAGGTTGCGGGCTGCTTCACAAGTAGTAGAGTAAAGAGGCAAGCAACAAAGCGCTTGTACAACGTCTCTAATCTAATTAAATTAGATTAGAATAGAATGTCGGTCGACCGTATATTTGAACACAGAACAGCTCCCCAGGTTGGATTCGAACCAACGACCCAATATAGACAGCGTAAGCAGTGCTAGTAATCTGACTAAGCTTCCGTGCGAGCCGTGCGTGCAAGATTTCCAAGCACACGGCTCTTCATCAGTTTGGCAAGACTACTGACTGTTTCCCTTCCATTTCTTTCATGTACTATGCAAACTTCGACATTGACGCCACACTTTGTGCCGGCACATATAACAAAGGCAGTAAGGAAGGAAGAAAAGGAAGGAAGAAGGAACTCACGAAGCGCACTGGACTTCATTCACACCCGAGTTTCCAGCGACTGTCAGAATTGTGCCAAAGAAGCTGATGTTCTCATGGCCACACTCTGGACAAGGTCCCTGCAATTGCCCACCAGAGGAGAGGAAGACCATTTTTTTTTTGTGAGGCAATCAGTGCAATGTAATCAATCCAATCAATCCAATCAATCCAATCAATCAAACAACAGTTAAATTTGATCAGATCCACTTAACTTCAGCATGGTAACTCCCAGCCGGTTTGTAGATTCATCGTGGTGAAGAAAAAAAAACGCTTCCCGTTTAACTGGAAACAGGCACTGATCCTTGTGACAGATCGCATTTCAACTTGGCAAATAGATCGGAGTCTTGCTTTGTCTCTGAAAAAAAAAAAAAAAAAAAAAAAAAAAAAGGCTGCCTTCTCATCTGGTTCTTTTTGCATCCTGCCAACTGCCAATCTTTGTCGACCCCAAACATTCCTGTCCAACATTCTCCTGCCGGAAAGTAGCTGATAGTAGAAATGGACAGTACTTCGTAGACAAACGCAGAGTCGCAGACCCATCAGGCACTAAATCCCACAAAGTCTTATATTAAAACAACAACAACAACAGAGTGCAGTGCTCCACAAGATTTTGAGTCCTGACCCTCCCCTGCCCCCCCCCCCCCCCCAGGCGGATCAGTGTTTTGAGGAAAAAAAACAGCCCCGTGGGTCACAGTTAGCAGGGCCCGGAGGTCATTGGTGCGAAGAAACACCCCTGGCATCTCATTATCCAGAAAATGATGCACGGCAATAGGACGCTGGACCCGGTTTCCAGCAGGTGCTGCTTCCCACCAATAGAACGGAGCTTCGGAAAAAAAAAAAAAAAAAAAAGATCTTTTTTCTTCTTCTGGAAAACGGTACAATGGCCAGGATTTAGCTCACCGAAAGAAAGGAAAAAAAAGAGAAGAAAGACGACATGGCCAACGCTCTTAGTCCTCGCTACAGGGGAGAGGCTCCTCCGGAAGACCCGGTAGATGAGATTGCATAAATACTAAATAGACTATACTCTTTTTAGAGAAATAAATATTTTGATACAAATAACTAACTCTATATATATCGTCACAAACAGAACTGCCCGGTAAACCGTAGGCAGAGAGAGAGAGAGGACAACAAACGAGGGGCTGTGACAAACTGTTTCGTCGGAGTTTCACCGACTCATCAGGAGGCTGAACCCTATATATCATCATATATATATATTATGGCATTAGCTATATTAACCTTCCTTGCCAAGAATGCTCAATATATAACGAGAAATGAAATTATACTCAAGAAACAACGCAAAAAAAAAAACAAAAAAAAAACATTTCATATTCCAAATCGAATAAATCAGCAAAAAGCGCACCAGTTCAGTGAGTGAATCATCAATTCAATCAAATTGGATTCTATCTGTCTTATGGTTGTTATCGTGTCGCCATAAGGCCCAACGAACACATACTAATGGACTTGCGGCCACGAAGTGGGAGACTGGAGCTTGAGTGGGAAACCCAAACAAAAACGCAAAACAGATTAAAGAAAACATGCACAGACCCAGAGTTGTCATTTTTTCTGGGTCATCGTTATGCATCTTATCATACTTGCAAAGTCGAAAATAACATCAGAAACGCCATTGCATGTGATGGACCGGGAAGAGGTGGTACTTGCCAAGTATCAAGTATCGGCTTGGGATCATATATTTTTAGGACTTTTTTGGATGTGTAATTCATTATCTAATATCTATAGCTATTTTCCATTTCAGTTGGAAAATGCAATCGGACGTATGGGGTAATGTAACCGCTCAAGGAATCTCTCATATATTACAGGAGGTAATTTTGCTCAGAGGGCTATTACTATTAACGGATGGCTGAGAGACTTTTTATGGGCACAAGCATCTCAAGTAATTCAATCTTACGGATCCCCATTTATTAAGACAAGAGGCCACTGAATGTGGTACCTTTTGTGATCTATGTTTTTGCCTCCGGCACTGGGCCCTAATAAAACGACGGAGGGAGTTAGCAGCTTACAACGTAGTAGTGCATGCTTTGCGTGCCATGCATGTATGCTGCTCTGTTGCTACTCGGTCTACGTGAGCTGACCTGGCATGCCTCTCTGGAAACACAGGCAGAAACAACAAAACGTTGGGAAAAAGACAAGACAATGTGAAAGCATGGCAAAAAAGAAGATGGTTTTTTTTTTTCCGGCTGTACCTTAAGTATGATCGCATCTTTGATGACAATGTCCGTGAGCCCACGCGCAATGACGTAGGTTGAAGGAAGGACCACAAGCCATGTGAATAGGAAACTGTACGGCTCTGGAAGCTGAGGGCCCAAAATACACCCCACAGTGTCCCACACCCACAAGTGAAACCACACACACACAAAGAAAAAAGGAGGCAAGGGGAAAATTTTCAAAATTAGAAGACAAGGAAAAAGCAAACAGGCCAGGAGAAATATGTTACAACTTACAACTTACACGTATTGCCGAAAGAGGAAGGGGGGAGGGGGGGAGGGGGAGGAGGAATAAAAAAAAAAACAAAAAAAAAAAACAAGCATTCACCAATGCGCCTAGCTCAGTTGGTACACCCATAACCTGTTGTTGACATACAGACCCGAGTTCAAATCCAAATGGAACATGTTAAATGAATTTCCGGATTACCCGGGGCCGGTCAGCTCCTTGATGATATCTCACGGCCATCGCCCTTTTTTTTTTTTTTTTTTTTTAAGCATTCAAGATACGGCCTAGAAAGACGCTCCAGTCCACGTAGCAAATCTCACTCCAAGCCTCAAAGGGATTGTAATACATTGTATCTATTTGATTCCACACTGAATCCGCTACAGTAGCTAAGTACTCCCGGGGATATATATCGTCAAATAGAACTGCCCGGTAAACCGTAGGCAGAGAGGGAGAAGAGGACAACAAACGAGGGGCTGTGTATGTATATATAATATTATATATATATATATATATATTTGTGACGATATATGTATATATATCGTCACAAACAGAACTGCCCGGTAAACCGTAGGCAGAGAGAGAGAAGAGGACAACAAACGAGGGTATGTATACTTCATAGAGGTATGGAAAAATTAATTGAATATAAAACCTATTTACAGCTTTGCCTTATTTTGATCGATTAGATTATGTTTCTATGATGGCACAGGAACATGCTTTGCACATCCAGGCCTAAGCCCTCCTCCGTGCAAGCACGGACTCGGACCGTTGACCTCGGCCTCAAGAGCCAAGTATCTTAACCACTACAGCCAGGACGCGGTGCTCACGAGTGGAAACATACCGATCCTGATATCCCACCCACGCCTGCAAGGCTGTAGTGTCCAACTCCACCCACCACACACAATACCACACGGACACAGCAATTCTCGCACACTTCGCTCCTCATCTGCACGTACCCCCCCCCCCCCCCCCCCCCCCCCCCCCCACATCCGGGCTCCACCCCCCCCCCGTCGGTTAACGGGGGCTTCACCACCATTTCAAGGCACGTACCATCAAGGCTTCCACCTGCCGCCATGCTTCCCCCGATTCACTCTCTCTCTCTCTCTCTCTCTCTCTCTCTCTCTCTCCCCCCCCCTCCCCCCCCCCCTCCCCCCCCCCCCCCCCCCCCTCCCCCCACACTGGTACTTGACCCACCCACCACATATGGGGTACAACAGCTCGGTCGGTTAACGGGTGCTTGCTTCCACAGCAGTTCATGGATCCGCGCACATCTAGGCCTGAGCCCTCCTCCGTGCGACCACGGACACCAGGGTCCGGAATCGGGATGTGAGGAGCTATCCACGCTAACTTCAGAATATCTCATATTGTTCTTTACTAGTTTAATTATTTTCCACATTTCGATTTGGAGAAATAATTCATACAATTCGGGAAAAAAAGATGCCATGCAGCATTGCAAAGCAAAGTTGGCAAACAACGGTTTTTTTTTTTTTTTTTTTTTTTTTTTTAACCAATATATTCTTCTATCAATTTCATCTCCCATTACCTACCTCCCACTATTCCTAAGCCTATACAGGGAACCCCTGCAAGCATAGTTACCTCTCAGGCTCTCACAATTAAGGGGATACATGTTGGCCCCAGTCCTAATTGGCGGTGGTCAGAGAGAAGGGTGGGGCCGCCGGTGAGGGGCCCAGCTAACGCAGAGACCGAGCATTTTGCCAGTAGCTGCTCCTCCCATGTACTTCCGCCGCCCCCATCGAGTAACAGCAGTATCTATAGCCAGCATTCTCCCAAACACCACACAGAACCAAAACAAACACACACACACACACACACACACACACACACACACACACACACACACACACACACACACGCACACACACAACCATGATGGCCAAAGATCCTACCAATACTGAACTGGGGGAGCAAGCCAACTATCTCAGTTGGTTGACACGAAGAGAGCTGCAAGGGGTGGGGATTGAACCCACAACCTCCTGAATGCCACTTTCGTGCCTAACCAACTAAGCAAGGCCACTTGCTCTAGCAAACGACTGTTGCCTGATGGTCATGTCGAATTTTGCGGGCAAAACTGAGCAGGGTTGCCGGTCCGAACATTCGCAGGGGGTCAGACCCACCCCCGGACGTTCGGGGATTCGGGCCGGGGTTCGGGCCCCATCCGTCCAGCGGTTCGGGGCCCACAACAAACCCCGTATCGGGGCCTAATGTTTGTTTTTGTTTTTTTTAACTTTTTTTGCAGATAGACTACAACTTAACGCACCTACCACTAAAATTTCAGGATAATCTGTTGAGTAAAAAATAAAATAAAATTCGTAGAAGATAGGGTGGGGTCACCGCCCCCCCCCCCTCAACCAATCAATCAACCAATCATTGGCAATCAATCAATATTTCTATATATATTTTTTTCTGTGAGTTTTTTATGTGTTGACTGATCGATTGATTGATTGATTAGTGGGGGGGTTCGCCACCCCCCCCACGCACACACACACACACACACACACACACACACACGCACACACACACACACACATGACACGCTTGTTTTTCTTT